TGGCATATTGGATGTGCCAAAAACAGTAACAGCAAGTCTGACAATGGAGACGTACTGGTGCCCGCTCGAGCTAATGGATGAACAATAGGACGACAGTGCTACAGTGCTACAGAATTTCCTTTGACTTTTAAGAAATCTTCATATTATTCTCAACTAAGCCCCAGTGGTGAAACAGGTGCTTTTCGTACCACATTCCCACAATTACTGACTCTTACAGGTACTTTTTGTTTGTGTAGGGGTCAGACATGGTGTTGCAACTTATACCTGGCTCTGTTCTGAGAACACCCCAGCAGTGCCCACAGGACTGTATTTATTGATGCAGATGTAAATAGGGCTTGCCCTGGGCAAGGCAATTCCCTTAGAACCCCTGCCCCACACTATCTCTGGCCCCTGTTCTCAGTATTTCTGATCTACGTGATTGTCACTAGTATAAAATATTTCATTGGCACTATTATTTTCCTTATCTAACAGAACTGCCTGCATGGGAAGCTTGGATTTGAAAGTTAGTGACAGATGCATTTCTCCGATGGTGTGAATAAGCATTCATCTGATTTTTATTTACTCACTCCTTCTGGAGGTGCTGGATCCTGAACTTAGGGTCTCAGGTACAGAGCAAAAAATGCTTTGCAAATGCTTTGCCACTGAGCGACATTCCTGTTCCTCAGCACCGCTTTTGAAAAGGTTTGCTTTAAACAGATGACCGGCTAAAGAAACTTTGGTACATCTGCACAATGGAATACTACGTAGCTGTCAGAAAAGATGAAGTCATGAAATTTACATACAAGTGGTACTATATGGAAAGTATCATGCTGAGTGAAATGAGTTAGAAAGAGAGGGACAGACATAGAAAGATTGCGTTCATCTGGGTAACATAGAGTAACAAAATAGGAGACCAACACCCAAGAATAGCCGAGATAAATATCAGGAGGATTACTCCATGGCTTGGAGGCCAGCTTCACACTCTAGGGGTAAAGGCAGCCCAGATGTAGAAAGGAACACCAAATGGGGGGTATTGGGAGGATCCCCCCCAGGATGGGAGAATCATGCTGAAAGTGGACTCTAGACAGAACATGACTACCACTTGATGCCTCTTTTGCAAACCACAGCACCCAAAAGGAGAGAGAGAACAAAAGAGAATGCCCTGCCACAGAGGCAGGGTGGGATGGGGGGATACTGGGATTAGTGGTGGTGGAGAATGGGCACTGGTGGAGGGATGGACACTCGATCATTGTACAACGGAAACCCAAGCGCAAAAATTTGTAAGACTACAACTGTACCTCATGGTGTTTCACTAGTAAAAATAAAAAAGAAAGGAAAAGAAAAAAGAGAAAGAGATAAGCCTGGAGTGGTCCTAACAATCTCAGGATACAAGGAAATATCCCTACAGGGTAGCGACAGGGAGAACGGCCGGAGCCGGGTGCTTCTTTGACAGTGACAAGGACGATGCAAGGCCACCCAGGACAGCGGGGAACCAACGCAGGCGCTCGGAGGGGACAGATCTGTTTTTCCACTGATTTCTAATTTCAGTTCTGAGACTGAGGAGGTAGACAGTGGTACTGAAAGCTTAAAGAGACAGAAATTCATTTCAAAGAGAAGGGGATAATGAATAAGGTAAAGATAGAACAATTAGAAAACAACTTTGGGCATCTTTCTGGGGTCATTAATCATGCATTTCATGTGAGAATCATACCTATTTGTTTTTTCGATAAGCGTACTTAGCTCAAGGATAAAAGTGATGTTGTTTTTATTTGAACTGAACTTAATTTAAATTAGCTGACCCCCAAGGGAGACTCTGGGGCAATTAAACGTAAGGGAGTATAAGGGAATGCTAAAATTAACTGATCAAGACACTTAAACTGAGTAAAGGGCATACAACAAACAAACAAACTAGAATTTAAGGCGATAAAAACAGACCAGTACTTAATTAGAGTAGAAGATGGTGGAATTTGGAGTGCTAGAAAGCCTAGGTTGGGAAAGCAGATATAACGGAGAGAAGAATGTCTGAAATTCAGCTATAGCAACATTACGATTGCTCATAGTAAGAGTAATAGGAAAAACCAAAGGATGGGGAGAAAGCATGAAGATTAATTAGGTAACAATAGCTGGGAAAAATAAGGGACCACTGTGACAACAGTAGTTGGTAACGGTCAGTCTGGAAAAGAACTGAGTCATAAAAGGAGGTCAAGGGATACACCTGATAACCTTTCAGTACCTGTACTGCAAACCACAGTGACCAAGAAAAAGGAAGGGGGACCCAGAGGGAGAGGGAGAGAGACAGAGAGAGAGAGAGACAGACAGACAGACAGACAGACAGACAGACACAGAGATAGAGGCAGAGAGACAGAGATAGAGATGGAGACAGAGATAGAGACAGAGACAGATATAGAGAGACAGAGACAGACAGACAGACAGACACAGACACAGACAGAGAGACAGAGAAGAAGAAATGTGCCTGCATAGAGGCAAGCTGGGGTTCTGGCTGGAGAAAACCTGGGACTTTGGTGGTAGCACTGTAGCACTGTCCTCCCGTTTTTCATCGATTTGCTCAAGCGGGCACCAGTAACGTCTCTATTGTGAGACTTGGTGTTACTGTGTTTGGCATATCGAATACGTCACAGGAAGCTTGTCAGGCTTTGCCGTATGAACGAGATACTCTCAGTAGCTTGCTGGGCTCTCCAAGAGGGGCAGAGGAATTGAACACAGATCAGCCACACGCAAGGAAAACGCCCTACCGCTGTGCTATCATTCCAACCCATATTGGTGATAGAAAAAATAAATTTTTGTATGATTAATAATATGCTGGAGCGATAGCACAGCGGTAGGGCGTTCGCCTTACAAGCGGCCAACATGGCCGACTCAAGTTCGATTCCTCCGCCCCTCTCGGAGAGCCTGGCAAGCTACCGAGAATATTTGATATGCCAAACACAGTAACAACAAAGTCTCCAATGGAGACGTTACTGGGCCCGCTCGAGCAAATCGATGATCAACGGGAGGGCCTTTACCTTTACCTTTTATTAATATAATGGACAGCAATCTTTGTAGAGTTAAGGTATAAAGATAAATATTCTCATTCATGTACACATTTGTCATATTCTCATTCACATCACTCATTATTCTCATCCCATCATTCATGTAGTAACAAAACCTACATAAATACACAAATGCAGTGAAATCATGCAACTCACAGGATGAAACATATAGAAGCATTAAATACAGCTGTAATGAATAAGTGTCTATAGGATCATCAGGTTTTTGGCTGCAGGGGCTCTGCTTGGGGCGGGGAAGGAAACTCAACCCTCACCCCGCTGAGGGGCCCCGGTGAAGACAGCTTCGGGCAGGGGCAGGAAATTCAGTCACAGCCATGCTCAAAGCCACTCTCCACATGCTCGGACGAGCCTCACACATGAAGAAACCAGTAGAGGGACCCAGGTGTGTGGGACCCGTGGCTGAGATCTCCAAGCCTGTTGGGATCAGGGCTGGGCCTTCTCCACCCAGATCCCCAGTTTTCCAGTAGCTTGGCAGCCACATCCACAAATTCCTCCCATGTAATCTCATCAACAGCCAAGATCCACGGACTATACAACAAAGCTCCCGGATGCGAACTCTTATAGTCTAGCTCACTGATGTACCTCAAGCAGCACACACGTGTTGGGTTTTAACATATTTGCTTGCATTATCTTATGTACATTCTCCATTCCTCTCGGAGAGCCTGGCAAGCTACTGAGAGTCTCCCGCCCATACGGCAGAGCCTGGCAAGCTCCCTGTGGCATATTCCATATGCCAAAAACAGTAACAATAATGGGTCTCATTCCCGTGACTCTGAAAGAGCTTCCAAGAAGGAACCATTGGGAAGGACGAGCAAGGAAAGGCTGCTAAAATCTCAGGGTTGGGATGAATGGAGACATTATTGGCACCCACTCAAGCAAATCGATGAACAATGGGATGACAGTGGTGATGATGACAGGATCATCAGGACTATGAAGCATTTCTATAATCTATAGTAATTGTTACTGTTTCGCATATTCAGATTATAAAATGTGGAAAATATTGCAAATAATGAAAAATAATTTTTAAAAAATTAATCCAATATTTGATTTTGTGTAAGAATTCCCAAAGAAGTAGAATTAATCAATATTTGAATGTGTGTAAGAATTCCCAAAGTAGTAGATCTACATTTTAAGATATCTGACTCTAAAATGCCACGTCAATTGATGGGCAAGGCAACAATCAAAATCATAGTTGGTGGTTTTCCACTTGAATTATTTGTCTTTAACAAAAATTTCCATCTACTACAGCATTGTGAAATTTTCAGCTGTATTTCCTAAGACTCCACCACTCAATCAGGGAGTTCGAGCTTTGAGTCAATCATCTCTGCACTGTGAACAAAGGCTTAAGCTGCAGAGAAGACATTTCCTCGACCTCTTCATCTCATCCATCGTCTTGGTTCAGACCTGAGCTCCTAAAAGTAGGAGGCAGAGGTTACTTGATGATCAAAAGCAACGTTTGGAGAATAGTAGACAGACCAAAATTCTAATGCAGTTCTGACTGAATCCTGGACTACTGTGGGCTTTTAGTGTGTGTGTGTGTGTGTGTGTGTGTGTGTGTGTGTGTGTGTGTGTGTTGGGGGGGTTACAATAATATAAATGATATTTCTAAAGAATAGATTTTAAAACTTGACATGTTTGGGGCAGAGAATTTGGGCAGCAGGTAAGGCACTTGCCGTTGATGCAGATGACCCAGTTTGGGTGCCTGGCACCTGATATTTTTGTCCAGCATCACAAAAGTGAACCTGAGTGCAAAGCCAGGAATAAGCCTCGTTTCTGCCATGTGCAAAAATTAATAAACAAACAAAGAGAGAGCAGTGAGTGACAGAGACAGAGAGAGAGACAGAAAGAACACCAAAAAATGGAAAATTCAAAGAAAACTAAAGATTATTTTATATAATAGGTGAAAATAAAGCAATTATGTAATCAAACTTTTTGAGTGTTTCTTCATCTTACCTGCTGGTTTACTGGAAAATTTCTGTTGATTTTTTTAATCTGCAATGACAAATAAGTATTAGTGAGAATGAAAGTGAGAACTAGGTAACATGATTCCCCAAATTTTATTGGAATCTATTTATTTGATTAATACAAATTGACACAATAGAATCATGGCTTAAAAACAGTTATAAATAAAGTTGTTTCACATTTCCTATCAAAACTTTCCAAAATTTCATGTGCAATTTCTTAAACACATTGATATCATTTAAAGGACTTAATTATCTGAAATAGTAAGTAATGTATAGGTATAACTGAGAGGTTTTGTTAATCTTGAAAAGTAGTTAATCTTAAAATCTTTAAATTCTTATACAATAAATCCTGCTAAAATTATAGACTAGTAATCTGCAGTTTCTTGACCATAAAATTTCTTTATATTTGATTTATTCTAGCATACAGAAAAAAATGAAAACAGATTATGAAGCAATAATGGATGCATCAAAATATTTTCAATAAGCCTACAAAAATATGTAAAATTTACATTACATATTTTTGTATGTAATATGTAAAATTTCATTAGAATAACTTAATGAATTACATTTTGTCTAAGTTAAGCTCCATTATACTCAATCTTTAGAGAAATAATTTAGTCTGTGGTGAGTTGTGTACAAACTTTAGTCACAAAATTAAAATGTCCTATCAGGTCAGATAAATTAATTATAATACAAAATCTTTGTCCAATAGAACGTTTACTAATTAAGACCAGTGGTGGTTTTTCAGAGAAATTTAATACTAATTGAGAATGGTATGATCTTAGATTAATTTCTTTCAGTTTTAACATATAAGTTATTCTGTAAATTCTTTTTATTTTTTTGTACTTAATTTTGTCTCATGATAAGTGTGAAGAAACAGAAAGTCACCTGTGAATATTGTACACAATAGTACTTGCGAAAAAAATCGCAATTGGCTCATCTAAAAGATCAAACTTACAATCAAAAAAGTTTACTTTATAAAAGAAAAGAAAATTTGAAATATGGATGCTATTTCAGCAAATCTGTGTTCAAAACTAAGAAAACAAATCATTTTCTACCATTGAAGCATTTTTGCTTTAGTGGTGGGTGAATCAGCAAGGGAAAAACTCTAAAAACTACTGATGACTTCAGCTAAAAATAAAATCCAAGAGAGTTTGGAAGATTGCACAAAAAGAGCAGCTAAGAGCATGTGGGTGCTCCCTTCAAATGCGTGGCCCCAGTAGGCACTGGGGTCAATCACCTTCAAGGTGTGTGTGTGTGTGTGTGTGTGTGTGTGTGTGTGTGCCGTGAACTGTGCAACAGCAAGGTGGGAAAAACACTGATCGGAACAAACTTACAGAAATAAGGGAAAGGACCGGGAAGAAAGAAAATCAATCATTTAAATATATCAGAATGAGAAAAAAAATGAAATGAAGTTAGCATTTGTTTACAACCCTCTAGCCTCGAGGGTAGTATATTAAAGATAGGCAATGCTCTTATTTTAAATATTTTCCTTGATTTTTTCTTCCACACCACTTAGAAGTACCTATAGATTTATACTTTTGGGGGGAGTATTTTTGGTTACTGTTTGCTCCCACGGAAAATTAAGTGCATGCAATCACGGAATATTGTTTGCCTCAGTAAATATCTGGCGTCTTTGTGAATATGTGATTCAGTATTTGTTGAGTACAATCAATATTTGTTGAATGCATGCAGAGACAAATATTTCAGTTGAAACAGAATCAAACGCTTGTGTTTAAGTTCTAAAAGTCTGAAATCAAGTCACCTTAAAAAGTGTAAATCCCGGTGATTTCAAAACCTACATATTGAAGTATACATAAAACTACTTAAAGTTTTATTTATTCCTATTAAGTATATTTTTATTGTAGTTAAGGGAACATGATGACAATAATGCTGATTTTCATTATTTTAATCAATAAAGTCACTGTTCTTTTATACTCCCTGAGTGCTTCAGATCATCTACTACTGTTTTCACAGAAGAGCTCATGACATAAAAACTTTTAACGAACAATTGATGATTTAAAGGTAAGTTCTTAATAAATAGGAATAATAGTGCATCTGTTGAAAGAAAGGAGAGGAGAAGGGAAAGAGACTCAATTTCACCAACGTCTGATCTATGCCTTTATAAATCTGACGGTATATTTATAGGGATTGTCGTGTGGACAATATTAATCCTTCAAATCTACATGCTTCCAGATTTTTGTTCCTTTTGTATGTCTTTCAGTTGTGATCTTATATGTCTCTTAACTCTTCCATTGATGCCCTGATATTTGTTTATTGAGATGCAAGATTGAATGCGACATATTGTTTTCTCTTTTTCTTCTATCACATTGCGTATATATAGGAATACTGTGGATTTCTGCATGTTAATTTTGTAGCCTGCCACATTACTATATAACATTATTGATCTTAGAGGTTTTGTAAAGAATTTGTTGTTTTCTAAATCTGAAAATAATGAAAATTTCACTTCTTTTCCAGTTTGGAAGCATTTAACATCTTTCTTGCCTAATTGCTAAGAAAAGGACTTTAATACTAAATTGAAAAACAGCAGTGAGAGTGAGAAACCATGTCTTGTATAGAGAAAAGGCTTTAATGTTTTTACCACGAGTGAGATTTTTATCTGTGGGTTCATGGAAAAATAGCTTTATCTATATTGAATAAGGGTCCTTCTATTGCTGTCCTATAGAGAGGTGTTTTTTTTTTAATCATGAACTGTGTTGGTTCCTGTCAAATTCTGTCTTCATGTATTGATATAATCATGTGGCTTTATTTTTTCTTGAATTGATTCAGATTTCTCTAAGTTTTATTGCTTGCTTTGGGCTCCTTCATTTCTATCTGCCTAAGCTGTGCACTTAGATCATTTACATGGGTCTTTTCTTGTTCCCTAATGAGTGCTTCATTGCTATGAATTTCTGCATTAACTTCCAGATCTTCATGGAAGACCTACTTCTGCTCCATGCTGGAGGCTGGAGGTGCGGGGAGGGAATTCTGGGCCCTGTGTCAGGTCAGGAATTGATGCCAGCTAATCTTGGATGAATGCCACGCTGTTGAATTGTTCCAGGTGTTCCAGGCTCCTGGCTAAGTCTCGGACCTTTCTGGAGCTAGGCTGACAGATGCCCCATCCCGGATGGCAGACCCAGCAGCCTGCAGAATAAATACCTCCAGCCCAGGAGCCGGAGAGAGTGCCCTGCACGCTGCCGACTGGGGTTCCATCCCTGGAAGCCCCTGTGATCCCTCAAGCACAGCCAGGAGTGACGCCTGAGTGCAGGGCCCACAGTCACCCCTGAGCATTGCTGGGTGTGGCCCCCAAATCACCACCACACACACATACACACATACACTTAATCACTTAATCACTTAACTTCCCGTTAGTCGTTGATTTGCTCGAGCGGGCGCCAGTAACGTCTCCATTTGTCCCTGTCGCGTGCTAGTGTAGCCCAATGGCATCTCTTCGCTCCGGGAACATGGAGGGCCTCAAACCGATCGTTCATGACCTTGACAAAGAAGTCTGACCATCTGGTAGGTGGGCGGCCACGCGGTCTCTTGACATCCCGTGGAATCCAATCAGTAACAGCTCTAGTCCAACGGTCGTCTTTAAATCTCATTACGTGACCAGCCCATCTGATTTTCGACACCTTGGCAAATGAGACAGCGTCCCTGATCCTTGATCGTCGACGGATGTCAGAACTCCGGATTCCTTCTCTCATTTGAGTGAAACGTGATATTCCAAGCATAGCTCTTTCTATTCTTCTTTGGGAGACCTGAATGGCGTTCTCATCTTGTTTGCGTAGGGCCCAGGTCTCTGAGGCATATGTTAATGCAGGAAGAACAGTGGAATCAAAGAGATGTGCCCGGAGCCGGAGGTTCTTCGTCCTCTTAGCTATTTCTTCGACGTTCTTGAAGGCGTTCCAAGCCGCTCTCTTCCTCCTGCGCAGCTCGGGTGCCAGGTCATTTGTCATGTTGACCTCTCGACCTAGGTAGACATAGCTGTTGCATTCGGAGATGGTCGTTCCATTGAGAGCGAATGGGGCGTCAGGAACAAGGCTGTTTCTCATAAACATTGTCTTCGTAAGATTCAGCTGTAGTCCTACCTTTCCACACTCACGGTCAAAGTCGGCCAGCATTTGTGCCGCTTGGCTGATGTTTGGTGTTATTAAAACAATGTCATCAGCAAAGCGGAGGTGGTGTAGTTGCCGACCATCTATCTTCACTCCCATTCCTTCCCATTCCAGTCGTCGCATGATGTTCTCGAGGGTGGCACTGAAGAGTTTTGGTGAAATGGTATCACCCTGCCGCACCCCTCTCTTGACATCAACGATCACTTCTTTGTAGAATGGTGAGATCCTGGTAGTGAATCCGCAATACAGCTCACGGAGGATCCTGATGTATTGGGCTTGAATGCCCTGATTGGCTAGGGCTTCAATGACCGCTTCCGTCTCAACAGAATCAAAGGCCTTCTTTAAATCAATGAACGTTAAGCAGAGCGGCACACACACACAAAATGGGCCAGCTCCACAACTAATATTGAAGAGAGATCTGTAAGCCCTCCAGTTTACCAGATTGTCCAGCTCAAAGCTCCTGATGCCCCCAAATGCCATAACACTGATGGTCCAACAGGAGCACAGCAAATGTGACAGGGAAGTCGCATGGAGACCACCAACCTCAAAGAGCGAATACCATCACACAGGAGACTCGACCCACCCAATAGATCCTCAGATAATGGCTTCAACAACACCAGCGTGAGATAGTACAATGACAGCAAATTGCCTCTTATTGACTTCGTGTTTGATAATTCCATTGGCCATTTTGTTGTTGTAAGCAATATGAAGTGAATATGAAGTAATTTTTTGTGCTGCTAAGGGCAAGCTCAGGAGGTCGGTGGGAAGCTGAGCACACTGGTGGAGGGACATCACACTGATGGTGAAATCTGTGTTGGAATATTAATTCCTGAAATAGCTGTATTAGGACCTACTTTGTAAGTCATGATGCTACAACAATTTTTTAAAATACCTACTTCCAATTTGTTTA